TTTTTAACATATTTGACCCCTGTGACCTTGAAAATAGATGAAGGTCATTTATTTGAACAAACTTGGTAGCCCTTCATCCCAGTTTGCTTCTGGCCAAATATCATCACCCTAGGCCTTTCGGTTATTAAGAAGAAGTCGTTTAAAGTAAAATATTGACGGCGGACACCGGACGCTGCACCACGGCATGTACTCTCATCATAAATATTTAGAGTACACTCCATTTTTTTGTGTTATATCTCCATAACATGAAAAATATATTCAAGTTTAATCCTTGAATATATAATCCTTTTCATTGAACACTCGTCCAAATGACAGAAATGCTATGCATGGACAGTTGATAGACACAGCACTTTCTTCTACAGAAGGTAGCTCTTCACCCGAACCACAAACGCAAGACATTCCAACCAATAAAAATACAACCACAACCAAGAAATAGTTCTTGTATTTATTATAGTCATAACATCGTGTTACTAACATTGTAAATACTACAGTATACAAGGTATATGTATATATAATGTAATTTTAGCTGTATATGTATATTTATATTTATATCAAATAACAATTTTTTTATGTACATAAAAATGAACTTGTTTGCAAAATAAAATTATTACAATACAGTCAGTTGAACACATGTTTGTAGGTTTAGAAAAATAAAAAGAATTCAAGCCAGTAACAGTTTGAAAATTTATCTGTTCACATATACAAGTTCAAAATTTACCAGAGCTGCTGAAAAGTAATGGAACATGGACTGACTGCTATTTCCAGCCCTTTATTTAGACGACACTGACTATATACAGCATACCCAGTACAGATATGACCTTATCAATTTAGAAACCTGTAGAAATCAGATATCCAAGTTTTACTTTTTACACAAACAATGTATGTATTAACCGTACTTTGTTATCACATATTTCCAAACTGATGAATCTTATTGAAGACTGTAGAAATCAGACCGGCAACAAAGTTTCACTTTATTCATTGTGACCTGAACCTGTATAATCCAACACTTGCATATTAAAAATCTTGGTTCATTAAGTATGTGGTTTATATAGGTTAAACAAGTGTATAAATCTTAAAGTTATATAACCAGCTTAATATTGGTTTTTCCTAACTCTCATACTGTAATTGTTAGGGCTTACTGGGTCTTTTCTGAGTTACTGAGTCAAGATCCAACAACTTTACACCCAATGAAGATATAGGGTTTGAAACGTTTTTACATTATATACCATCTACCTAAAATATATCTCATTCTTCACTCAGATTTATAAACTGGAATGAGAATAATGATATACAAGATACAGATTAATTGATACCTGGGTTAAAACGACATACGACTAGATTAGAAATACCACTCCCAATATAATAGTGTTAGTTGCTCTTTGAAGTGCATGTTTACTTTCATCTAACTTGTTTAACCTGCCAAGGTTGGCTGCAAGTTCTGGAGCATGTGACATGTCAACTGTTCTTATGTGAGGACCAGTTTATTCTCTCATTGACATTATCTTTAATGTTAAATACTATAAATTATTTAATTAATCAAGTTATATTTGAAAATCATATTTCCTTATCATATTAATTACCAGTAATTAATCAATTTAAATCGGAAAAATTTAATAATACACTCTCATTCATCAACATGGGATACAAATATATATCATTTTAGATTTACTTAGAAGAACATGCTTACGTGTCAACAATTGATTACACACAACTTAATAAAATTATCTTCTCCTTAATGTTTTAAATAATTAATACTGAGTAATGAACATTATATAATTTATATATCTATAATAAAACTAAATACTCTTAACTCAAGTGGCCTGAACGTTGTGGTAATAAAATAACTAAACTTAAACAAAATAACAAAAACAAAGACTGTACATTACACCTTCAAAATAAACATGTTAAACTAATGAAATCCACAGTAACAGATCTTATAATCTTATAAATACTATAACACAACTCAATACAACTTTACCAGTCTCCTGATGCACTTCTCATCTAAATGATGTTGAACTTTATTATTTCAGGAACATACATTTAAGAACAGTTATCATTTGTAATAGATGTAACCATGGTAATACACCATCATATATAAACATAAGATGTAACCATGGTGATGGATATACCTACATCAATATCAGATGTAACCATGGTGATAGATATACCTACATTAATATCAGATGTAACCATGGTGATACGTCATCATATATAAACATCAGATGTAACCATGGTTATAGATATACCTACATCAATATCAGATGTAACCATGGTGATACACCATCATAAATTAACATCAGATGTAACCATGGTGATACGCCATCATATATTAACATCAGATGTAACCATGGTTATAGATATACCTACATCAATATCAGACGTAACCATGGTGATACACCATCATATATAAACATCAGATGTAACCATGGTGATACACCACCATATATAAACATCAAATGTAACCATGGTGATACACCACCATATATAAACATCAGATGTAACTGTTGTGATACCTCAATGTTCATTAATGGATGTAAACATGGTGGACCACTTGGATATTTGAAACACACATGTACAGCAAACACCTCACAACAACAGTAAGAATCTCTCTTAAGACACTCATAGACATCTCACAACCTCAGCAGCACACCCTCACATTAATATGGCTAGGGATTTGATAAAGACTACTTAGAAAATTAAAACATACAGGAAACATCTCACAACATTATGGTCATGAACTTTTTGTACCGACTCCCCTAGCTTCAACATTTAATAAACATAAAAAAACGTTAACAGTCTGTCATCAGTCAAAAAAAACTGGAGTAGTTCAAAAACTTCAATCCTTATGGAAAAGATATTAGATAAAACCTTGCATAATGATTATGAAAATTAAAGGACTAACTTTAATCATAATTAGGTCTGTAGTTTCTTCCACTACATTTGGTTTCTCAGAGATGGTAAACCAAACACTACACCACCAATTATCATCATTCATGCCTCATTTCAAATACTGGCAAAGTCATCTCAGGAAAACACAATAACACCCAACACAACATGCACCAGTAAAACCCCCCATCTATGACTAGTACCGTGAGATATATGTAGGAGGGAAATGATAATCGGACACAGTGTTTAAGAAGCTGTTAATTTACGTTTTGAACTTTTCCTGGGATGATTCATAGACGTAAGCAATAGAGGGGCAAGAATTTTGACAAAAGGTGGATACTTAATTCATTATTCACAAGTCAAATACTGTTAAATCACACATTTTTGTGGGGCTTGAATTTCATGGTTTTCCCAAAACCCCATTCCATGTGTGCATGAATTTTCCGATTGCCCATGAAAGCTGGCAGTATACCACTCAAACCTGAAATTGGTTTGTGGACATACAAATTTTGTAATTAAAATCCCCATGAAAATTAGTGATTTTACAGTAACTGCTTTAACTAGAACATTGGGTTCCCATCTTAAGCTATTTCTTCCTGTTATATATTCACAACACCCCTACATCTGGATAACTTCGTTCTAGGTCCCTACATATTATAGCAGCTGTATTGAGGACCACAGAAAATAATGATTGTCAGTTGTGGAGGTCACAAAAAGGTGTCTCCCTGCCCTATGAATATATTCATTTCTTGAACAGCCCTATGAGGTTTCTACTACATATACATATTTCACTATATTTCAAACTGAGATGTCAAACACTATACCGGTATATAAATAGGAATGGTTAATCGATGAGGAGTTCCCCGAAGGGTTATGGCAAACAACGTATAATGTATGACACGAACACACGGATATTGCACCAATGATTGCAGTACCTAGGATGTAGTGAGAACTTGTAATGCTTAGTTTTACAAAATAAAATCACATAACAGTGGCAACATGGTGGAACTATTGATAGAACATAATTGTTTGGACCACTCTTGTTCTGTACAACCAGTAAATAATGTAGAAATTTGTATAGAAACTTCATAAGTGTCCACCATGAACCAATCTTGAACAATGTATATATTTTTTCATAAATGTCAACTTTTTATACATACAAAATTAAACATATCACCTAACATACAACTTCCGGTAACTAAAAACCATCACTATTACCTATCATCTTTTAACATAAATTTTGAATATTTAGATTAATTTTTGGTCTGTTAATACGAATATAGAAATTTATATTCAATGAAATTTTGCGAACACTTTTCATCATAGCACCAACAAAGTAGCATCGACAACAGTTTTCAATGATCAACAGTATTCTCCTGTGGTGTCCGGCACCATTTCATCGAAGTCTGCGTCAATCTGCTCCAGTATCCATGGCGATTCCTCAATCACCACAGATATAAGACGGTCTAGGTACACCTTTTGACGACTAGCTTCTTTTACAATTTCCTTCAGTGCAGTCATCAATTTTTCCTGGAAGGTAAGAAAATACAACAGATGATTTCTAATAAAACATCTAACATGATGTCAACTAGGTAGCAAATATCCTCCTCCACGACAGCTTTATAGATTGAAAATAATTGTAAGGAATGACAATATTCTGACTGAAGAAATAAGTGATGACAAGGCAAAGTATTGCAAGGCAATCCATAGTCCCCCAACGGGAATGATTATTTATGATTTCTATATTTAACAAACACATCATCCCAAGATATCCTTGTACACCAAATCTGGTTACTCCAGATGAAATAGTATAGAAAATATACATGGACAAACTTTTTTCAAAAGTAGAGGTCAAAGGTCCAGTTTTAGGTCACAGTGACCTTCTTCTTGCACTATGCACTTCGTCATCCAAAGATGTTTTTGAACATCAAATCTAGTAGCTTCAGGTGAAATAGTATAGAAGATATACCCCAGACAACCATTTTCAAAAGTAAAGGTCAAAGGTCAAGTCATAGGTCACAGTAACCTAATTCTTGCACTTCTCTATCCCAATATGTCATCGTATACCAAATCTGGTACTCCAGGTGAAATAGTATAGAATATATGCCCTGGACAAACTTTTTCAAAAGTTAAGGTCAAAGGTTAAAGCATAGGTCACCACAGTGAGGTCTTAGTGACCTTCTTCTTGCACTCTGCCATCCCAAGATGTCTTTGCGCACCAAATCTGGTTACTCCAGTACTCCAGGTGAAATAGTATAGAAGATATGTCCCGGACAAAATAGGACAGACGGACAGAGTGCAAACCTATAGTCCCCCCCCCCCCCCCCCCCCCCCCCCGGGAACGGGTGGGGGATTAATAAGGCATGGTATCACATTTGTTATTAAGAGTGTACCAAAATTTTAATAGGTTGAAGAAGTTGCATGGATGAGGATAGTTATATGCTTCTAAAGTAATATAAAGGGCAATAACTCTAGTAAAAATCAAGGAATGAAAATGGCCAAGTGAAGCAGAATACAAAATTTGGAAGAAAAATGGAAAACAATTTTGAAATATTGCTTTGAATGTAAGGACAAACTGACAGACTGAGACCATTACCAAATAACAAAATTTTGAAATCTCCTTCTGATGGGAGAAACATAGATATATTTATCAGTAAACTTAATACATGTACGTGGCTATAGGACAAGGAATGTCTATCCTACTGTTAGTGGCTTAGTTTTGTACATAATTGTGTAACCAGGAATTGTAACTGTGTTGAGGATCTGAAACAAACACATTCTCTCCTTGTCATCTTAGAATAGCAGCATGACACATTAAATTTTGTTTACAACCAAAATCGAAGTACATCTTTATTACTGACTATCTCACTGCGAAAGGGGTGTAAACAAATAAGTATGCATACTGACCTTGGAAACACCTTCGACCTTGAGACTGTCCATTGTCATTTTGTAATACTGTGCCTCTCCTTGTATAGACACACCTGTACAAAGGAAAACTACAATTATTATTGTGGAAAACATTTACCACTTCATCTGAATGAACTTTGGACCAGTAGTTACATTTCTGATTGTAGAAAAAATCTGGCCCAGCTTTTAGCTTATATCGCTTATTTCATGCATTGAGTCAGGAAAGGTACGCTGAGGAAGTATCTTTGTTAACATACAAACCCTACCTGGACTGTTGGGATAGGTAGCCATACAGTGGTTAACAGAAGGGGAATAGTTACCAAGCTCTATCAGTAAACACATTCTTTATGGATTTATAGTTTATAGTTCTGTTACTCTAGCTATTGACACTCTCAGAAGCGGTAGCACAGACTCAATACACTCACCCTTCCTGGACTGTGTGTGGAGGTCTGTAGCAGCTTTCAGTGCAGCATCCTTCTGACGCCTTAATTCCCAGATGCACTCTTCTTTGGCTGTGAGTTCCTTCTGTAGACCCTCAATCACACTCTGCTGATCCTTAACCAGGTCTTTCAGTTCAACCAGCTCATCCTGAGGAAACAACATAGACAGACATACATAAGTAATGCTAAAAATTGTTTGGACTGCATCATATGTCTAAGTCATGTACCTTAACCTTTTGCCTGAGGTCATATCATACCTGTAGTGAGCACCTATATATTGAGGCCATATGTGACATGAAACAAGTACCTTTATTTGAGGACACATGTTATTGTGACTGTCTCTGAAGTCAGCTCTTACCTGTAGTGTTCACTTGTCCTTGAGGTCATTTCTCACCTGTACTGTGTACCTGTCCTTGATGTCATTTCTTACCTGTACTGTGTACCTGTCCTTGAGGTCATTTCTTACCTGTAGTGTGCACCTGTCCTTGAGGTCATTTCTCACCTGTACTGTGTACCCGTCCTTGAGGTCATTTCTTACCTGTTGTGTGCACCTGTCCTTGAGGTCATTTCTTACCTGTAGTGTGTACCTCTCCTTGAGGTCATTTCTTACCTGTAGGGTGCACCTGTCCTTGAGGTCATTTCTCACCTGTAGTGTGTACCTGTCGTTGAGGTCATTTCTTGCCTGTAGTGTGTACCTGTCCTTGAGCCCATTTCTTACCTGTAGTGTGTACCTCTCCTTGAGGTCATTTCTTACCTGTATTGTGTACCTGTCCTTGAGGTCATTTATCACCTGTAGTGTGTACCTGTCCTTGATGTCATTTCTCACCTGTACTGTGTTCCTGTCCTTGAGGTCATTTCTTACCTGTGCTGTGTACCTGTCCTTGAGGTCATTTATCACCTGTAGTGTGTACCTGTCCTTGATGTCATTTCTCACCTGTACTGTGTTCCTGTCCTTGAGGTCATTTCTTACCTTTACTGCCTTGAGGACAGTTCTTACCTGTAGTGTGCACCTGTCGTTGAGGTCATTTCTCACCTGTACTGTGTACCTGTCCTTGATGTCATTTCTTACCTGTACTGTGTACCTGTCCATGAGGTCATTTCTTACCTGTAGTGTGCCCCTGTCCTTGAGGTCTGTTATGTCCTTCTGTGGCACACCGCTGATAATTTGGTCGGGGTCCATATCCTGTACTTGCATGTCTGTCAACACTTTCCTTAAGCCCCACCAGCGCTTGTCTGCGAACTCTCTACTGCTTCTCAATTCCATTCTCCTACAATATTACAAGCCATCACTTACCTGTACTGTGTACCTGTCCTTGATGTCATTTCTCACCTGTACTGTGTTCCTGTCCTTGAGGTCATTTCTTACCTTTACTGCCTTGAGGACAGTTCTTACCTGTAGTGTGCACCTGTCGTTGAGGTCATTTCTCACCTGTACTGTGTCCCCGTCCTTGTGGTCATTTCTTACCTGTAGTGTGCACCTGTCGTTGAGGTCATTTCTCACCTGTACTGGGTACCCGTCCTTGAGGTCATTTCTTACCTGGAGGATGTACCTGTCCTTGAGGTCATTTCTTGCCTGTAGTGTGTACCTGTCCTTGAGCCCATTTCTTACCTGTAGTGTGTACCTGCCCTTGAGGTCATTTCTTACCTGTAGTATGTACCTGTCCTTGAGGTCATTTCTCACCTGTAGTGTGTACCTGTCGTTGAGGTCATTTCTTGCCTGTAGTGTGTACCTGTCCTTGAGCCCATTTCTTACCTGTAGTGTGTACCTCTCCTTGAGGTCATTTCTTACCTGTAGTGTTCACCTGTCCTTGAGGTCTGTTATGTCCTTCTGTGGCACACCGTTGATAATTTGGTCGGGGTCCATATCCTGTAGTGTGTACCTGTCCTTGAGCCCATTTCTTACCTGTAGTGTGTACCTGTCCCTGAGGCCATTTCTTACCTGTAGTGTATATCATACCTGTAGTGAGCACCTATATATTGAGGCCATATGTGACATGAAACAAGTACCTTTATTTGAGGACACATGTTATTGTGACTGTCTCTGAAGTCAGCTCTTACCTGTAGTGTTCACTTGTCCTTGAGGTCATTTCTCACCTGTACTGGGTACCCGTCCTTGAGGTCATTTCTTCCCTGTAGTGTGTACCTGTCCTTGAGGGCATTTCTTACCTGTACTGTGTACCTGTACTTGAGGTCATTTCTTACCTGTACTGCCTTGAGGTCATTTCTTACCTGTAGGGTGCACCTGTCCTTGAGGTCATTTCTTACCTGCAGTGTGTACCTGTCCTTGAGGTCATTTATCACCTGTAGTGTGTACCTGTCCTTGATGTCATTTCTCACCTGTACTGTGTTCCTGTCCTTGAGGTCATTTCTTACCTTTACTGCCTTGAGGACAGTTCTTACCTGTAGTGTGCACCTGTCCTTGAGGGCATTTCTCACCTGTACTGTGTACCCGTCCTTGAGGCCATTTCTTACCTGTACTGTGTACCTGTACTTGAGGTCATTTCTTACCTGTACTGTGTAACTGTCCTTGAGGTCATTTCTTACCTTTACTGCCTTGAGGACAGTTCTTACCTGTAGTGTGCACCTGTCCTTGAGGTCATTTCTTACCTGTAGTGTGCACCTGTCCCCGAGGTCATTTCTTACCTGTAGTGTGCACCTGTCCTTGAGGTCTGTTATGTCCTTCTGTGGCACACCGCTGATAATTTGGTCGGGGTCCATATCCTGTACTTGCATGTCTGTCAACACTTTCCTTAAGCCCCACCAGCGCTTGTCTGCGAACTCTCCACTGCTTCTCAATTCCATTCTCCTACAATATTACAAGCCATCAACTTCACTCTCCTTCCTTATCTAGTTATGATAATGTTATCCTTACACAACAACTGGTTACTTATAATGATCAGTATATTTTCTACCTAAATTTTACTCACTCTCCTTCCTTATCTAGTTATGATAATGTTATCCTTACACAACAACTGGTTACTTATAATGATCAGTATATTTTCTACCTAAATTTTACAACTGCCTGTTCCTATATGAATTGGGAAAATAGGGAAGATATTTCTTTCATTTTGTTCATTTTGGGTTAATAAACCATTTTTTCCCCTAAGGGAAGCAGCCTGTATCTGGCTGTAAAACTAAGCAAAATAAATCCCTGATTTCACTTTATTTCCTATCTTAATAAGCTCAAATGTGGTTTTAGGAATACAACAGTATTTCTCTCGAATACTAATCCAAGATAACATTCATTACTGTAGCATACTCAGTGTCTAAGGGTAATTTAGAACACTGATGGTCAGCAAGGGCTCTGGCTCCAGTACTAGTATGGCCATAAGCAGAAGCTATCATTTCGAGATTTCAGAATTTCAGCTATAAGACATTACACAGGTATGTAATTTACAACTAATACCAGTTAGCAATAAGTGCAAACAGATCAGCAGATCAGAAGTTGTAGCCCAAAATGATCAGCCAATCAGACATCATGGTGGCCATCTTGGATTATAGGATCCAAGGAATATACCATTATTAATGTGGCACACACAATACAATGTAGATTTGACAGTGTATCAATCACTGTTCTTTGTTTAGTATCAGAAACCTTGACTAGTGGCCATCCTAGATTTCTAGCCAAAGTTTCTCCAAGGTTGCTTATAATGAACTTTAACCAAAGGTTAGTGAAAAATTCTAATAGTTGCCAATAGGAAGCAAGTATTTAGAAAGCAAAATGAATCCTCTAAATTCATCAATCTATCCGTCTCAACAAATCCATAACAGTGAAATAATAGCAGATGTTCTATATTTTCTAACATTCACATTTCAAAATTTTCCATAAGCACCGAGGGACCTTGGCTTGGATGCCAGAAACATTATCGATGAAGGATATCCATCAAATTCCATATACCTCCAAAATGAATACTGGTAGGACAGGAAGGACATTACAGTGTATTATACCTCTCCTGCTCTACTTTAAGATTACAGTGTATTATACCTCGCCTGCTCTACTTTAAGATTACAGTGTATTATACCTCTCCTGCTCTTCTTTAAGATTACAGTGTTTCATACCTCGCCTGCTCTACTTTAAGATTACAGTGTATTATACCTCGCCTCCTCTACGTTAAGATTACAGTGTATTATACCTCGCCTGCTCTGCTTTAAGATTACAGTGTATTATACCTCGCCTCCTCTACGTTAAGATTACAGTGTATTATACCTCTCCTGCTCTACTTTAAGATTACAGTGTATTATACCTTGCCTGCTCTACTTTAAGTAGGTAACTTTAATCTTGGGAACTTTCTAAACACCTCTTGTACCTTACATTTAACAGAATACCATCAAGAGGTAAAATTAAGAAATATGAAGAATTCTGGGATGTTAGATCATCTTCGTAAACAAAAGTGTGGACAGAATGAAAGAAGCAGGGCTCTAGGATGTAACGGTTCGTTTTAGTTGTTATGGAGTTTTCTTAAACCTTAGTCCTCACCTGACAGCAGGGTCACACCAGATGACCAACTCTATCTCCTCACACTGACTGGTCACTCCTTCCACCAATCGCTGGACATCACTTGTTGACATTGGAAACAACAAATGACCATTCATCTCCAGAATCCTGAAGTTAAGATAGGGTCACTATTAACTACACACATTATTATCATTATGTGATGGTGGCCTATTTGGTTACTAGTATGTATACTAGGGTTTTACAAACAATGTCCATTTACAATCGATTACTGTTTGCAGTTTATTTCATTTTCATAGACTTTGACAAAAGAAAAATTGCAAACAGATGTATAATTTATCCTACCAGCTGGGAGTATATATTATTCTATTGTGCAGTTAAGACGCAAATTATGACCTACGGTGTACAGTGTCATATAGAATATACATGTAAAGGCAATAGCACATGTGTTTATCCGATGTCTCATATTGCAAATGGGTATTGCGCATACGAATATATCTCATGAGGGCATTAGCAAGAGTCAAATACATCCATTTGCCCAATAAGGGAGTGAAATCTGAGATGTCAGATGAACACATTATGAGGTATCACTTTTATTACATACCTTCAATTGTTCTATATAAAAGGTCAACTGTAAATAGAAGTTTAAGGTATTGTTACAAAGCCTTACCTGTCTCCTGCCTTCACACTGCGACTCTGTAGACTTTCCTCCACTGACCCGATGATCAACTGACCTTTGTTGTCCAGTTGGAAGGTCATCCCAAACTGACCATTGGTCTTTCGTAGATGGACACAGCAGACTTCCTGTGCAGTCTTTCCATCAATGAAGCCGTACAATGAGCGTTTATCAGGAGTCTTCTGGTGTAACTTCTGTGGAGGCAACATATCACACTACATTTATCTCCTGTTGCCAATTACATCTCATCTGTGATATTTACATGAAATTTATACTGAAATTAGATTCAACTACATTTAACTTGAAATTGGGGTTGCGTGAATATGCTTGCACTACACCTTTTCATATAAACAGTGCTGAATAATATTAATTTCAGGTAATAAATCATACACATCAATGACACTCATACAAAACATTAAATAGTACAACCCTAATCTTTACGTCTTTACGTTTTACGTCCTATTAACAGCTATGGTCATTTAAGGATATGCCAGGTTTTGGTGGTGGAGGAAAGTGGGAGTTTCCTGAGAAAAACCACTGACCTACGGCCAGTACCTGGTGACTGCTCCAAGTAGGTCTCGAACCCGCGACCCAGCGGTGAAGGGCTAGTGGTAGCAGCTTATCAGATGCCTTAACCACTTGGCCACTGCCACCCCTAATCAATTACACAGAAAATATGTAAACTAAATAACATTACTGATTGTCCAGAGAAGGTAATTGGGACCGTCCCTACCGACAATAAAGGTTGTGGACTTGTGGTGACCTTATTTTGGCATGTGACACCACTTGACCTTGATGTATATGTATACTTTCCCTACATGAGTCTTTGGGTGAGATATGTTCCCAGAAACCTGCATTCAAGTACTTCGGGTAAAGGTCAAAGATCAAGGTTGCAGTATTCCAATTTTGGTACACAACACAGTTGACGCCTCATGATATACCTACAAATGAGGTTGAATGTCCATATACATGAAAGAGAAAGAGTGGCTGTGATATGCTTCAGAAACTGATAATTCTTCATCCAAAATCAAAGGCGTAAGAACAGAAGAGGTTGTGATGACCTTATTTTGATAGTGACCTTCTCATAATGTACCTACACACAAAGTCTGAAGTCCATACAGAAAACCATATCTGATATATGGTCTGCAAACCTATATTTTTGCATCCATGATCAAATGTCAAAAAGAGGTCGCAATAACCTTATTTTGGAACATGACACAGTGCCTTTCTTATTCATACTTGGTACCAAATATGATATCCAGCGGCTAACCTGTGCTCAAGACACTGGGATGTAAAGATGTACCCACAAACCAACTAGGCAAATATCTTATATACACCCAACTTCATTCCGAACAGGGGTATACCAAAGAAACCTAAACAAGCTTTATAAACCTGTATTACGGACAAATAATATCCCTCCCCACCCTTACCCCACCCTCTGTTTACTGTTAAATCTGTATTACGGACACATAACATGTAACATCCCTCCCCACCCTTACCCCCTCTGATTACTGTTAAATCTGTATTACGGACACATAACATGTAACATCCCTTCTCACCCTCACCCCTTCCTTTGTTTACAGTTCTTACCTTCCTCACAGGTTTGTTCAGTGTACCACCTCCACTAGACTTCAATGACCCTGTGCTGAAAAAACAAATAATACTTTGAATGTTTGAACACAGCATTTCATAAGGCTTCAATAATCACATTTAGAGTTTTGATACCTGGACTTAGCTAAGGGTATTAGTGTCATCCAGAAATTATCTTAGATAAGTCTACTTTTTAAGTACCACGTCCACAGAATACCCAAACCTAAAAAAGGCTACTTTTAAGTACCATGTCCAGAATACCCGGACCTAAATAAGGATACTTTTAAGTACCACGTCCACAGAATACCTGGACCTAATTAAGGCTACTTTTAAGTACCACGTCCACAGAATACCCGGACCTAAAAAAGGCTACTTTTAAGTACCACGTCCACAGAATACCTGGACCTAAATAAGGCTACTTTTAAGTACCACGTCCACAGAATACCCGGACCTAAATAAGGCTACTTTTAAGTACCACATCCACAGAATACCCGGACCTAAATAAGGCTACTTATAAGTACCACGTCCACAGAATACCCGACCTAAATAAGGCTACTTTTATTTTAAGTACCACCTCCACAGAAAACCCGGACCTAAATAAGGATACTTTTAAGTACCACGTCCACAGAATACCCAACCTAAATAAGGCTACTTTTAAGTATCACGTCCACAGAATACCCGGACCTTAATAAGGCTACTTTTAAGTACAACATCCACAGAATACCCAGACCTAAATAAGGCTACTTTTAAGTACCACCTCCACAGAATACCCGGACCTAAATAAGGCTACTTTTAAGTACCACGTCCACAGAATACCCGGACCTAAATCAGGCTACTTTTAAGTACCACATCCACAGAATACCCGGACCTAAATAAGGCTACTTTTAAGTACCACGTCCACAGAATACCCACATCTAAATAAGGCTACCAGTATTGATATCATGTTCCGAGGTTCAATAGGCAATCCTGGCTTTCATAAAGCTACTAATGTCACATCCAGAGGTTCATTAGGCTTAGAGGCAACTGGTCTTAAGTCCAGAGGTTATCAGGTTTTTGAGAGTCTAGAAAATACATTTTTGGGATGCTCCTGAGAAAATGAATCAACGAACAACTTTGCTGGGTTTTTTGTGTGGAAAATTGTTATTTAAAAAAAAATATACCCACAACTTTCAAAATTAACTAATGGCAACAATAAAGGTATAAAGGTATTTCACTTGTATAATGATATTAGTATTGTAATTATAGTTTAAAATTTTGAAAAATTGAATTAATTTCCCTATTTATAATTAGAATAAGGTTCCTACGCATAAATAAGCAAGAATTATGCAAATATGCTCACCTTGACTGTGAATCTCCACCAGGAGAATTTTGACGTACGAAAGTGTCACCTCGTGGAGATCTTTCCGGGTCTCTGAGAACCTTCTGTCTGCGTAACGTAACAACTCCCTCCCCTGACTTTAACTCTCGGACATCAGATTCAGACTTTTTACGCAGCTTTGGTGTGGGCGATGATGTTGTTGATGATGGAGATGATGGTAAAACAGAAGAGTGACCAGAGGCCAGGACAACTGGTACACTCTGTGAGCGATGGAAGGCACTGGACTTGTCTTTGGCGAGAGTAATGGCTGCTTGGTATTTCTGGTGCTCAACCGCAGTCTGGAGGCGATGGGTGTCATCCTCATCGGTGTTCTGTTCCAGCCTCAGTAACTCGTAAACCTCTGCCAGGAGCAGCTCTCTGTCCTCAATACTGATGTGGTCATAACCCTCTGTAATAAACATTTAATTACCAAGTGATGACAAGTTGACTTTTTCCTTTCAATTATAAATCATCACTAATTTTTCATCTTTAAACCCTATACTTTATGTTCCTGGTTTGTTATATTTCCCTGAAATGGGCATGACAGACTCCAGATTTTAGTACCGCATTTATCCTGCAATAAGCTAGCTAGTCCACCCTCTAAATTTGAGTAAAAAGTGCTGGCCTCTTGGACTTGTTGCAGGATAAATATTGTATTCTAATTAACTCCATAACCTCCAAAGTAAATAGAAGAAAGGTGAATACAGCATTACATATTTCCTATGAAGTTTTGTTTAAATTGTTTTTTTTAATAAATGATTTATAAATTTGTATAACAAAATCTGCTGATTTTTTTCAACTTTGGTTAATGAACTCACCGAGGAAGGGAAGCTGTAGATCTGCTAGCTCTATCCCTGCCACATGGTGTCCTAGTAACAAGTAACAGGTGTAAAAGTCAGATATTAAAGTTAATACAGGTGTATGGCAGGTGTAAATACAGCTAATTAAAGGTATAACACAGGCAGGTAATAGAAGTAAAAGTAATTAATGGTGGTACAGGTGGATAAAAATAGTAAAAGTCATTAAAATAAAAGATAGGTAGGTTCATTGTATCTGAAAAGTGTAATGAGCACCAGCAATCTTGTTATTGCAGACTTACTTTGGAAGAGGAGGATAAATTTGTGGAGTTTCCTATTTTCTAGCCACCGAATAACATCGGATGTACCCCACTGCTTCAACTGTAACCAACAATAAAACAGGTTTGTTCCTATATTACATCTGTTTAAGTCTAAGTTAACTTTACTAAACAAAAGTTAACAGATAACAATTGATCTTCATGAAATAAATATTTTTAACCAAATCCAATATTACTGATAAAGTAAAAATTTAAGGTCAATGTCCATACAAGTGATGTGTAGATGTTTGTATACAAAGATACTGATAGGAAACACCAAAACCACAAAAATATTATTGTGTTCTCATAACAAAGGATTTTACAATGAACAATTTTCTGATATCACTGATGACATGATACATCAAACACTTCATCATGAAAAAACATCACTCCCCCCCCCTTCTCTGTATCTGCTTACCTGTCTTGTGAATGATTGCTCACGCTGGACTGTGCTCTGTGACCCAGAGGATCTTCTCTGATCTCCTAAAACAGAGACAAATAAATGATGACCATTAGTTCAAATTATTTATCTCACATGATGCAAATTTGCTCAATAATCAAATTATAATTGGCAATGAACCAATCAGAAATTTTGATAAATCTACAGTTCAACAGTTTTGGATTATAATTTCATAATACTAGTCTGACATACTTATCAAGTTCCCATACCAATCTGCATTGCAATTATAACATGTTATAGTTCTCCCTCCATTTTTGACAGTCAAGTTCTCCTTATCAAAGCTTTGGAAAATGAAACGAATAGAAAATATAATTGTCGATTGAATACCATTGGACATTTCACTAGTGTTAGAATACTTGAATATTTTCACTCACACTTTGCAATTGTGAACAATAAACTTGCATATTCTACCAAACACATGAAATATAGATGGTTTTCAATCAGTAATCATTCAATATATGTACTAAATCAGAATAATAAACAAATCATAATGTTTCAGTTTACCTTGACCGGAGCTAGTATTCGACCAATCAGAATGCAGTAATTCTTCTGTGCGTTTCTGCTGTTGCTGTAGTTCTGACAGTGTTGTGTCAATCCTCTGTTCCTGTTCCATGTTGACTCGCTGTAACTGTGCCAGATTACTGGTAAGCTTCTGCGACGACCGTTCCAAGTCCTGTCGTCTTATGGACATTTGCTATAACAAGCCCCAAATGCAAAATAAACATTTTCCAGTACAGTTATGGTCTGATAGATATAAGATAAAGATCATGAGAACATGATACAGCGAAATTGTCTGACAAATCATGCATAAATTTAAGCGAGAATAAAAATGTAAGTGATTATAAATTGTATTCAAATGAGATGATCAAAGATTTGCAGAAAATACGACTTATACAACTAAAAATATAGCATGCTTTCAGGATCCATGCTCTACTACAAGCAAAACACTAGTAAATTCCTCTCAAATAAATATAGGGTAACATCTCCTTAAGCACATTTTGGTTATAACTGGGTCAGGATATCCTACCATTGCCCAGGTGGCTCATGGTCAGTTGGTTAATGCATGAGTGACAGCATAATGATCTGAGGTCAAGGGTTCAAATCCTGGTATGACCCTAGTGCATTTTTACACTCAGTCTCGGAACTATTGTTAATTTTTGGTGTCTATTAATTATTCATAAAATTCCTTTAGAAATGATATATCACAGCTACAGTGATGCTAGAGAAAGACACCAATGAATCGTTACAATGTTTGGCAGTAGTACATACAGGCATCCTAAGATAGAAACCTATTGCCGTTGGACTGTACAGTAGCTGTTGATAGATATTTAATATACCATTGTAGTACTGTTAGAAATGCATGCATTTAGTCTCTAGTGTTTTTCCATTATTCTCCATGTATTGGTTGCTGCAGATGTTACTTTGTACATCAGCATTCTGGTCTAGCGTGTTTGTATGAAAAGATATCCTAGAAGATCACTATATAATAATTTAATGAAGTACGATCAAGCGAAAAGCATAAAAACAACATTTTGTGGATTCCTATCGGACGAAAAAACCTGCCATCAGCATCAAAGCAGCTACCAAAAAGCTGGTAGTTCAGGTAAACTTATGATAACACTGCAACCATCCACTAATGTATTGCAATAACATATAAATAATTCGATCATTTCTAGTTCTGTACCTGACTTGACGTAAAATTAACATATTTATATTAAACCTTATCATACACACGTAACTCAAATATTATGTGTACATACATGCATCATCTCAAACTAATGAGGACCAGCTTTTCACTTTTCTGTAAAATTGAACCCCACACATCCTTGTATTGATTGTCTACGTATACGTATACTCTTATCTATTTGACCGATTCCCGCGCTTATAGGTTTTTGAATGTGTGAACAACATAATGAATAAATAATTTATATTCCTACTTTTACTCGCTGGCAGCTGGTCAAACAACCATGGTCAGTAAATCTTTAGACACAAATCTCATGATTATGGAGGAAATAAAAAAGGATGCAATGTATGAAAGACTTAAAAAAATGGATTTCTGGGGAAAATGTACAAAAGAATCTTTTGAAGAAGAAATGGATGATATTATTAAAACTTACTTGCACTAGCAACAGCATACTTACTTTGAGAACTTTTCGAGGCTGTCCATGAAAGCCTTGGGTCTCCATGACAACTATATATTGTATCTTAATGAATCACAAAAGAGGATGTGTGTCACAGACATTCTACATGCTGGTTAATAACGGTACAACATGAAGTTGACACATGAAGTTGACACATGCAGTGTTATAACGTGACACGCTCCATGCCGTGGCTACAGGTGTTAAAACTCTACAGTCACACACACATCGGCTGCTGTACACAAGTCTACAGAGATAAAGCAATGTGTTACATATATGATCAGCGAAATCAGCACTGATACCGTATTCAACATAATAAGCTAGCTATATCTAGGCTAGTTATATTCTGATGCTCAAATTTCTGAATCAAATTAAAAACAATGAATAAACAGTTTTGCAAAATCTATCTTTACTGTTAGCGTTACACACTTTTGCAAAAAAAAAAAAAAAAAAAGAGTTTTAATATATTTTTTTTAACAAATCTAGATACTAAATTCCAATTAATGTTTCCAAAATATGTAATTTCATATTAAAGGAACTTATTCTGTACAAACAATTCTAATGTGTATATTATTGAAGCTATTACAGTAAACACCATGACATCAAGTGAGATTGCCTTTATTATGTTGACTACGGTACCGAAAAAATTAAGACATTTCTCAGACAGAAATATGATATTTGTATAAGTAAACAGACATAGAGAATTTATACAGATGGATGCTGATAGACTTGATGATGTATTTCAAACAGAACAAGCAGGGTATAGAGCTTATACACTAGCCAATATAGCATATCTAGATGAGGCTAGCTGATCATGATACAGATAAAGTAATTATATATACACAACAAGTCATCAAACATTTTGACAGTGTTAAGGACCACTGCAGGGACATAAGGATGAAGTCAAACTGTGTATTTTAAGACAAACTTTCTGGATGTGTGATACAGCAAACATGTATATTATTTTTAGAGATCTAGTTCATGAAAACATCCAAAAAATGTATTATATACTGGAAATGAGAAGGCTAACAACATTTTGTCCTGCTTTCATGGCATATCAAGACCATTAAGCTGCTTTGGGGTGGGGGTAATTTTTGCTAGGAGCTGATCAAACATTTGTGAAACATAGAACCTATTCTAATTCAGTAAGAATACAATGAAAAAAGGAGGGGTGGGTTGGTTGAGAGAATTGGGTGGATTTCTCATATATGCAGAAAGATATTTAAACGGCATGTAACATTGACCAGTTATAATTCAGGTACAGATGCTTTGATATCCTCGGGTTACCGGTTTCCGCGCACCTAAGAAGCATCCACAATTTCGTACTCATATCGGCAGAAAACTGTTGAAATTATCGATGACTGTCATAACCATGTATACAATCTACTAATGGAAACAAAAAACTAGCAACAAAAAACTGTATTTTAAAAAAATCTGATCAAATTTTTTTTAAACAAAAGAACCGGTTTATGAATGAAATATATCACCGTTTTTTCAGGTATGGGTTCATTTTGAACGAGATAAAAAGTGCTTTTGCATATTTATGCATGTTTTTTTAATCAGTGATTAATTCTTGTTTTCCGGATGAACTTCCGGCAATTTTTGTGTCAGTTTACAGACGATGGCCAAACATCTACTATACTGCATTGGTTGTTTCAGAACTGTGACCTTTCATTACTTGTTTTGGATGTTTCTGTACTTACCAAAAGTTGTTTCGATATTTTTGACAATTTTTTGGAATTGAATGATAGTATGATATAAAGAACAATTAGAACATTAATATTTATCTAAAAAGTGTCCTAATTTGGGTACAGTGATGTATGTTTCCGACTCCCCAAAATGAGCTTTAATTGACCCTTGGATTTGAAAGATAAACTTATGTCTATTGGACATGGATTTGACCCTTCAGTTTTCTGGGAAAAGGTGATTTGACTTGATGAAATGGCCAAATGTCACTGATAAGACTTGATAACTCAATTTATATATGTGGTTTGCGTCGGGTCTCCAAAACAGGGACCTACACATATATTTCATTTTACAGATCTCATGTGATCACAGACTAAGGCCTAACCGGGGAGTCACTAGCTGCGATAACGTAGCTTTCTGACGACGAAAGATTTTTTTATATAGGCTATTGCGCGTCGTCAGCCGGCCGTGTATTATATTAGTACTAGGGAGCTCGAGTCACCAGCAGCCGAATAACAATCTGTGTCATTGTATGATGCTCGAGATTGTTTATAAAATTAAGTATGAATTGTTCATGCTAGGCCTTAATAGATCAATAACGTAAGATTCATGTTGATAACTTCTGTAGAATAATCAGTGTGTTGGGCCTCACGGAATAGATTTCTTGACATTTCATCAACACCTGTTGATTTTCAGCAACAGATGTTTGCTACCAAACATAGTTTTAAAAGAAAATAAACAAATCCTTTCAAAAAAACTGCTTACAATAACAAGATTAATGTGTTACAAAACGCTATAAACTTCACACAGCCAACACATAAGCATAAGAAACCCAGTGTTTACCTGCATCCATCTCGCATATCGAGTGGTGTTTTCGTGTTTTCCTCTGGATACTTCACTTCCGGTTGTAATAATGGGGTTCCCGACGGGGAAGTTTTGGGGCGACTACAAATATGCAATTTATAACGTATAATAAATTATGTAAACGGGGTTTTTTTTTTTATAGAAAATGATAAATTTAAAATGAATTATTAAAGAATGTAACAATTTGACACTGCATAGCAAAATTTGAATCGGTATACATGTATTTCATAAGAAGGTATTTTAAACAATGTATGCCATTTTAGCAAATATGACATTTTTTCCCCGACCAGCTTCTTTAATAAAGAAAGTTATTTGAGCCCTAAATTTGTCGATAAAAAATGTAGAGAAAGTGAAAAAAAACCCAGTTCACATGTGATTGTCAAAGAAGGACATGGTCACATTAGAAATTGTTTGAGTGTATTAACAAATTAAACCACTGACTGTGACAATCGAAGTCAAGATTGTTTCTGTTTGCAAAATTTGTAACATTCTATTCCAGAAAGATTCTGACCGAATGTCCTGATCATATATAGTACGCCTATGAGTTAGACATTAGCCCTTAAAACTGTCAATGTTCTAGGTTCTTTTTAACCAATTCACTATTAAGGTAGAAATTAAAGCAGCTACTTGTTCTCTGATTCAGACTGAGCATTTAAAAAAATATCTTACACACTTGATTCTTTGACCTTGAAATAAGGCGGAGGTCACTTCTATATATATACGAAATTTGGAGCAATCCATTCAAGCAGGATACTAGCCATAAATGATGACTATATGCATTGGTCCATGTGCCTTAATTAATTAACTGTAGGACCTGAGTCCTACAGTATTTATTTTTGTTGTTGAAATTTGTCAATCATCCATACAAATTTGAATAAAAAATAGTTAAGTATAACGTTAAGTTTGTCAGGACCATGATTTGATTATTCCTAGACTGAGTTTCAGTTAAATCAGCATTATGAGAACTTGATTTTTAGTTTAAAATGTTGTTTTTTGAAAATGGCGGCCGTGGCGGCCATATTGGATTTTTGGACACTTTGCCAGGCCCCGTAGAACTGTACTTTAATAATAAAAATATACAACATTTATATAGCGCCCTATACAATTTGTAAAATTACTCTAAAGCGATTTAAGTTTGAAATAGTTTTTCAAAATGGCGGCCGTGGCGGCCATATTGGATTTCTGATCGACCCGTAAAATAACAACACTTTGTCAAGACCATGAGTCGATCATACCTACCAATTGCAAGTTTCAGTTAAATCGGCCCAGTAGAACTTGACATTAAGTTTGAAATAGTTTTTCAAAATGGCGTCCATGGCGGCCATATTCGATTTCTGATTGACCCGAAAAATAACAACACTTTGTCAGGACCATGAGTTGATCATTCCTACATAGACTAAAGCTCAGGTGACCTGAAAAGTTTGAGCATATTTTAATTATGACTTTCTTGAAGTTAGTGACATGCCATTCCAGCAGGTTACTGACCAAATATCATGGTTATAAGCCTTTTGTATGTTTTTCTTTTTTGCAGAGTATGTTTTTGGAGATTTTTAAACAAATTTTACTACTGTATTTGAATATAGGTCAAAGTCATTTCTGCTTATCTTGGTAGCAATTCATGCAAATAAATTAAAGCCAAATATCATTTATAACTCTGTGTATTTTGGTTCTTCAGAGGAAGTCTTTTGAGTGTTTTAACACATTTGACTCCTGTGACCTTGAATATAGGTCAAAGTCATTTCTGTTTGCAGAGATTGTAGCATTTTCTTCTAGCAAGTTAAATATTTAAACACATCTGACCAATGTGGCCTAACTTAAAATTATAGGTTAAGGTCATTTTTCTTTTCATATTTAATACTAATAGCACTCCATGGCTAAATATGACCAAATATTATGACACTAGGTGACTTCAGAAGAAGTCTTTTGAGTATTTAAACAAAATTTACCCTTTTGACCCTGATAAGAGGTCAAGGTCAATTTTATTTTATTTTTTTGTAGCACTGCATGGCCATCATTTTACTGACAACATATCATGACTCTAGGTATTTCAGTTCTTGTGAAGAAGTTGTTTGAGCATAATTAGAACACAATTTACTTCTGTGACCTTCAATAGATATCCAGATAATTTCTTTTCACAAACATCATAACTAGCCATTTCAGCAAGGTAATTTCTGTTTGTAAAATTTGTATTAGTCTATGCCAGCACGCTACCTGCCAAACATCATAACTGTTTGCCTGTCAGTTTGTCAAAAGTGATTTGAGTATTTTAATTAACAAATCTGACTCCAGATATCTTGACTATGGGTCAAGGTTATTTCTGTTTGCAAACTTTGTAGAATTCATGCCAAGTTACAGGCAAAATATCACACTTCTTACAGGCCTTTGTTTTTTCAGAAGTTTGTGAAAAGGTATGACCTTGATTTACATTCATGTTCACAGGAGCAAAATATCAGGCCTCCAACTCTTTCCATTTTTCAGAAGATGCCAATATCGCACAATTTGTTGCCCAATTATTTATTGATCTGCTGACCTGTCTTTTAGAATCTTTTTAAAGAAAATGTTTAGACAACCGATCGGTGGCAACAGATCACACCACCTCTAGTTCACGTAAAATTGGCCCATATATGGAAAGTTTATTGACAAGTATTTCTCTCAGGAAGTATTAAAGTAGAAATATAAGATCAAGTCTATACAGGTTTATTATTTTAAATTCTTGTAACCGCCAATAAATTTCCCTATTACTATTCAGCCAATGATCAGGCAACGATTGATGGCTCAGGTTTCACTAAAACTCTGTAAATACAAATGTATATTTTCTAAAACTTCACCGAGAGCTCCTACAACTGAATATAACAACTCTGAGCTCCCAAAGGCATTTCAAGTTGATTAACTATTCAACTATTAGCTATCTCATTAGGCAATGGGTTCTTATGGCAAAAAACTCTAGCCTTAAACGAGCATTACATGTCCATTAGGTAGGAATGACTCCTAGTTATTGAGTGTTCTATTTGTACCAGGTTATTCCCATCTTTCCTAAATATTATATATTCAAGTTTAAATATCTTAGTTTACAGCCGATTTAAAATTGTGAACCCCAATGAGTTACATTTGCCTATTTGTGCGTCACCTGGCCTAAAGTTGGTTTCTTAATGTCCCCTACAGCTAGATTTTATGAAGTTCCATCAAGTAGTGATATGGAAGAAGTGTTAACATGTAGGTACAAGGCTAAATCTTCAAAAATCAACTATCATTTCTGTACATCACTCCTTATCTGGGGACCATAAACCAGTTACTGAATAGTAATTATTAATGTAGCAAAACTGGACCGAGAATATCATCGGCGACCAGGTAGCTACAATGGTACATGTGGTACATCTGTCTGTGTTTCCGAGGGTCCTGGGTTCAAACCCCCGTCTGGCTGTGCATTTTCCCTCTCTTATTGCATTTGATGACCTGACCAGGCCACCCTTGATTGAAGTACTGGGTGAATGCTTGGTAAGGTGATACCCAAACCTGGGTTGTAAATAGTGATGCTTTGGGGGCCAAAACTTACAAAAAGGGAGAAGGAATGTAGCGGAACTGGACTGGGTCGATTGTCAGCAACCAGGTAGCTCAAATGGTGGAGTGTCTGTAGCTGTCTAGGAGTTCAGAGAGTCCCGGGTTCAATCCCTGGTCTGGCCGAGTGCAGTTTTTTCCGCTCCTATTTCAAATTCAACTTCTCCATAGATAGAATACCTATAAGCATAATACTGGTAAATATCTTTGGAAGACTTCACCCCTTCTTTAGAAGAAATCCCCATTGGTTTATATTTTTATTTTGGTTTATATTTCAGTACCATGAAAATGTATAGAAGTGAGCAAAAACTTGAGCTGACATAAAATCTATATTACTCGTTGATATTCATTTCAGCTTGATTACTGACGGTTACAGTTGACATCAGATTAAAAGAAAACAACACAAGTATTTTAAGTTTTGAACCCTCATAAGCCATGAATTTTATTTCACAGAACAAGGACGTCAATCCGGAATTAAAATGAATTTATAAGTTAAAATATATACAGCATGTACAAATTATGGACACAGTCAATGGTCAGAGGTTAATACTAAGGGACTTGGATCACACTAGAGCTGGGAACAGCTCCATAAAAGACTCCTCCCATGGGTCCTCAGGAAGACCACGACCCCCCAGTACATCACTCTGGTATGGAGAAGCAGCATCACTGAAGGAGTCGCTGCTGAACCCAGAGTCACTGACCATGTCCATCGATTCACTCAAACTGAATACGTCCTCGGATTGGGTTAGGCAGGGTACAATGCCTGTATCAACAATATCTGAAAGTTTCCGCTTATTGCACTTAGATTTTGAGACGGGAACCTCCAGATTTTGTTGTTGTGATAATGTGCACATTCCGTTCTGTGAATTAGAATCCAACACATTGTCCAGGACAAACTGATTATTACTTGCCAAAATGCTCTCAATATCTTCCAGCAAGTCGAGGTTGACCTCTGGCAGTAGAGAGGAAAAGTCTAGAACACTTTCACTGCCATTGTTGTCTGTTGTGGTTGAACCGACAACATTGTCTTTTTTGTCATCTTCTATAACAATACACTCCCCTGCAGGAGACGATTTCACCTTTTTAAACTTCTCGTCTTTCGTTATGTGAATATTGACGAGTTTTTTGGAACTGTTTTGTTGGCCAGTGCTGTCTCCACAACTGACAACAATGACTTTTTGAGACTGGTTTTGACCTACAGAATCACTCTGCCCCTCGGAGGGTTCAATCTTGTAGTAAATATGATCAAACTTTATAAGTTCATTGAGGGATTCCAGCTCTGTTGCTGAGGGCCCCACCACTGAGCCAGCTTGAGGTGCTTGCTCGGTTTTGATGAGGGACTTGGTTGATGGTGCATTGACAATGACACTTCCTTTCTCTGACTTCTTGTCATCCTGCTGCATAAAGCTAAGCAGAGACTGAAAAAAGGAAAAGCATATAAATTAAATATTACAAGAAACAAATAAAAAGTTATCCAATACACAGGTATAACAATGTGAAGTCATAATATGTCCCATTTACGTTAAAAATTCTACAGTCTACTACAGAAACAATCCATTACGTTTTTGATGAAATACATTTTACATATTATCTTTTGTTTTATACATTTTAAGAACATCGTATGCACTGCATCATACACACCTGACCGTCAGATAGGAGGTGGCTAAGGGCATCGTCCAGTGAGACTGTGTCCGAGTTTGTTCCTGCGGCAGAGGAGCAAAGAGTACTGCAGACCCGGGGTACTCGGACTCAGGCTTACTGGGAGAGCCAGTTTCAAGTCGTTCCTTTAAAATGGTGTTCTCCTGGATGAGAACTCCAGACTTGTTTCGAAGTTCAACGTTTTCTTTTTGTAGTTTCTTGTTTTCTTCCATAATTTTTGCGAGTTGTGATTCCAATACGGACATAAGGTCTTTCTTTCGGTCTCTGGCGGTCTGTGCTGCCACTCTATTTTTCAGTTTCCTGAAAGAAAATATTTAAAACAGGGATATAATTGGCGATCAAATTGTTTGAACTCTATATTTCAATTCAGAAATAATGTTAGGTAAGTGTATATCCCCCCCCCCCCCCCCAATTTTACATGACTTTATAAATAATCAAAAAAAAAAAAGATTTTGTACGTTTTCTAGTTTCATAATAAATTCTGATATATAGTCTAATTAAGATGGCTCCTGTTTCCCATGCCCAAGAAAATGCCACATTCAATCACAGGTCTCTGCAAATGTTTCAGTGACAGTTTACCAGTTTCCACCACTCCCACTGTCCTACTAGGCTAACACCACCTACTCATTCTACCAAACATACAATTTTAGAATTAACAAAGTGTATAGATCACGTACCTTCTCATCATCTTTTCATCCGGAGTGAGGTGGGTAAGGCGTCGCCTTTTCTTGGGACCACCACCCTCACTCTCCTCGTACAACGTATCCATAACAGATGTTGACATCGCAGACTGAGGAAGCTCTAAAATGTTGCTCTTGTTCGGAGCTGTGTTTATTACGATCGTTCTCAGTGATGAAGACATTCTGAAGTTCGCTGGTCGTTTTTTCCGTTCAAATACAGCCACATAAGGGCCGAAGCCTACTAAAATCTGGTCAAGTCATTCAAGTCGTTAAAGTATATCGTCCTTTCGTTTCTCCATGTTGTCGGGTTGTGCTGATGTGGCGTACCTAGATTGGTTTGACGTCGTACGTAAGCTACATTCTGATTGGTTGATCCTTTCTTAATATAAATATGACATCGATGGGATTTCTGTCTGATGCAATGTCGAAGCGAAACAAGGACGTTATTTACATTCCAAAGCTATTAATAGCCTTCGGTCATGGGTTAACCAATAATAAACGAACACAAAACTAAAATTGCGCAAGCACTGTTTTAATACTGTATTTTTAAAACGGTACAAAAAAAAGAGAAAGGCAAATGAAGTAGATTCTAAGACTTGTAGCTATGCCCAGAGACGTATATTAGTTTTATTACGTGTAGCTTCTAGGCCCGACTTTAAAAAAAATCGGGCCTAGAAGCTACGGTTCCAACATGCAGCTAGTCTCTGGCTTGTTCATCGTCACTTTTCAGGGCCGTGCTATGATTGGTATGATCTGCATTAGTGCTAACTAGAATTCGTCATGTTCCAGTGGAATTCATATTTGCTATGAATGCCAACTGAAAGATGTTCAATATTTTAAAAAAAAATCTCATAAATTTGATTTATCAAAATTCGGCGTTTTGTTCTAATATGGGTACCTATTTAAATGCTAGCTCTGGATCTTTGTGCATACACCAAATTTCACTTGCTCCTAACATATGTATCAAAAAGGTGTAGCATAGTTTTTACATTTAAGTTTAATGATGAACACTTTGAAAATAATGCAAACACAGCTTTTCACCCTTGGATAGCTAATTGTTTTTGGATAGAAGTGAATTTATTATTGTAATTTAGAATAATACATAGGTAAGGAAATTGATCCATACATTCGACTGTACTTCCTTTGTAATACCATTTTTTATCATTATTTAATCTTCCACCTTTTCTAAAAACTACAATTTTTTTTCCGCACTTACAATTAAATTCCATTTTGTAGAGTATTAAAAAAGGCTATCAAGAAGAGTCTACAGGCCCTGTACAGATTCCGAAAAAATAACCAAATCATCTGCGTACATGAACAGAAACAAACTTAACTCGACGAAGTCGTAATATGTTGCACCGTTATCAATAAACGACGTTTCAAAATCATTGATAAAAAGTATCAAACGTTAAGTTATCATATCAATGGCGTCGCTACGTGGGCCATGGCATTCGTAGATGCTATTAATGTCACCTGAACTTGGAAGGATCATATAAATGTTGGTGACAGTGCCAAAGAGTGCTAAATTACATTTAGAATCAATCTGTTTTTAAAATTGTTAAAACTTACACGCCAATATAAAATCAAATATTTGTATTGGGGTGGCGTTTTTGCCGAATGTGAATATAAATACTGAAACAGTTAGCATTCCGACCGTAACAATACTATAACATATAACAATATGTCGGGTCCCCATGGTCCATATGTCTTCAAACTATGAATCAACCCCCACCGCCGACCCAAATCCTCTCACAACTCACAACTCCTGCCTCCCGTACAAGTTTTGGTATAGAGGTTGCCTCCCTTTACACACAATTCCTGTCATCAGCAAGCGGTTCGGTATCGCGATTAAAATTAAATGGCGACTTGGCGTAGAAGATTTTTTTCAGTTCAACTAACCATTAAATGTTCTTTCGATTGGATGATCAGGAACAAATAAATCAGTTTAGATAGATATCTGACCTCCAGCAAGTTATAATTTATGACACTGAGTGACATTAAGATACATTACTCCAAGTTGTGTAGTGTTCATGCGCTGTGTCATATCTTCAGCGAAAAAAGAGTTGCTTGCGCATTTACTATACAACAATAGTAATATAAAAACGAATTTATTTCCTTTATAAAAAACGGCATGGCTCCGCTACGCGATAAGGCTAGGTTTACCGAGGCGCCACCAGTACTGGTAATGGTATTTATTGATAACACTTCTTTGCACTGAGCAATTACAAAATATTAGGCAAACATAAAAACAACTAGTTGAAGCTTGTAATAGGGCCCATAGAAAACTGGTAGGACATTCTTCCTAGCTTTGTGCCAGTTGATATAAGAGCAGGTATTGATAGGAAATGTTGACAATAATTGGGTAGTTGCATAAAGAATATGACGCATTTTTTTAATGTAAGCTAGGATGGAGTGTTTTGAGGGAGTTTTTTTAATTCTAATTTCATTTATGTGAATAACTGTGAAAATGCACTTATTTTGTTATTTTGATATGATTACTTGAAAGACGCTCTGGAAGGCTTTCAAAAGTTGTTCATTCATTCATTCATTTCTTTATTCCTCCAAATTGAAGAGTTACATGTACATGTATATAGACATAAATATCAATAAATACAGAAAAAGAAATCATATTTAAAGCAAAGAAAAAGGAGATATTCTAAAGTGGACAAAACCTATGTACGTAACTAAACATGTAAAAGACTCCAGGCTAATGAACAAAGCAAACAAATTTGATTACAAAGCTTCACAAATATATGATGGAGTATAATGATAATGGTTAGAAACTGTATTGAGAAGAGTCTACAAAAGGAACGCAATATATATATATATATATGGGGCAAAGAAGTAATTCCGACAGTGTGGACAAGCTTAGGTTGTCAAATTTTCGGAGCGATCCGCTCCTTTATCAAGACACAGTGAAACAGAACAGTTACATGTACATATACATCATATTACAAGAAGATAGAACTGATATACTATAATTGAAAATATAGCTATTATATAAAAAAAACCAATAGTCCCCTCGGCTAAGGACAGATATATATATATATACATTTATGTATATGCGTGAACCTTACTGTGAATTGACATAAAAGTTTCCATGTACAGTCATGTTAAAAATCGATTTAAATTACATAAAAAAGGGTTACAGACAATATTACGATATTAGATCTACTGAAATGTTAGAGCTGAAGCTCTCTCCGCAAAAATCAGACAGTCTCGGATAAAGGGAAACATTACATGATCCTCTCCCAGGGCGAGAGTGATATCGTTGGAGGGACAGCCAAGTATAGTGGATATCTGTTGTTCCCTATCAGCTTGATCTGAATACACATCTACATGTACGGGGTAGACGTTTACTATATTTGTATAAAATACGTATCTAAGCGAAGCTAATTCAACACTGTTGCAATCTAAGGTACAATGGGCGACAGCGTCAGAGACAAACAAATTACATTTATCACAATGAAGTTCACAATCAGGTGGGGCAATCCATAATTTAGAAACTCGTTTACAGATCTCAGCTAAGTTTGGAGATACTTTTGATACATGCCACAGAATGGAAGGTGAAAGTTCTGTATGAATATTTCTAAATCTGCATAAATCACAATTCAGACTCGGACGCTGTTCCCACTGTTCACTTTCTTTGCAAAGCAATACAGTTTTCACAATATGCTTCCACATTACAGGTGTAGTTTGTTAGGCATGCAGGAAGACTGTAAACAATCGTATAAGTAAAACTGCAAATCGTAATTATGAAAAATATTCCATACACCGGGTATAAACCCTTTTTTGGATTTATAAATACTAAGATACATATGATATATACGTAACAAAAACAACTCTTTTGCAGTACATTGAGATTTTACATTAAACAAAGGAGCGAAAAATCGTAGTTTGCATTGTTCTACATACAGAGAAAGTGATGGTAAACCTTACATCCCCAGTACAATATCCGACCTAGTGCGAACTGGGAAATTCTGCATATGTTTTGCACAGAAATGGTGTGTGGTCTCTAGACGACGCCAATCAGTAGAGGAAAGCACTTGGAAGCACGATTGACTTATGAAGTTTCAAACTTGTTAAAGGATTAAGTCACGAACCAAGTAAGTTACACTGCATAAGAGCAAAGCATTGCCCAAAACATTGCCCACGTAACTTATGCACAACTTCATGAAGCCCCAAAAAACCCTCTGGATCCGCCACTGAGCTTGTACTATAGAAAACTGGTAGGACATTTCTCCTAGCTTAGTGCCAGTTGATATAAGAGAAGGTATTGATGGGAAATGTTGACAATAGTTGGTTAGTTGGTTTAAACAATATTTTATTTACAAATATGCAGTGCATAATATAAAATTTTACATAATGTAATGTTAGGGATCTGGCAACAAGACTAGGCTGTTATATTATCTCCCAGTTGGGTAGAAAGAATATGACACATTTTTTTTCAATGTAAGCTAGGATGGAGTGTTTAAGGGAGTTTTTTTATTTCTAATTTTGCACTTAATTTGTTCTTCGCTGATGATATGATTACTTGAAAGAAACTCTGGAAGGTCTTCAACAGTTGTAAGCCTCCCTTTATAAATAAGGTTAAATAAAAACAATTCAGCCGCTGATGAGTAGGAACCAGCCGTGAGAAAACGATCGGACAAAATAGAGTAGTTTGAGCATAAATGAATTACACATTGATTATATAATGAAACATGTCGATTATCAAACATCTTTAATGTTTTACCGTTAGTTGCCTCACCTATCGTGTGAATTCGAATAACTTCTTTATCTTTTCCCCTTAAACAACGTGACATGCATGAATAATGTCAACAACTGCCCTACTTATCCAGTACACATTCACATTAATAACCAAAAGGATTAAAAAAAAATGTTTTTAAAACGATTACATGCATATAAATCCAAACACACATGTGTCCATCATTGTGAAAAATACAGATACCAACCAAAGTTCTGTAATTTTCTGAACGAGGAGACAATAGTTCGCGCACTCTTTGAAAAGAAAGATATAATGTATAAATATCCGACTCAAATTATATAAGTAATTAAAATACTGCTTGATGACGGTGACTTTCTTCGCGTGAGAAAATTGTCTAGATCCCATTCATAAAACGTCCCGCATGCCGTTAAAGCTGAGTGTATAGCCTGTTTAGACAAAAAGTCAATCATAATATTAAATGTACAGTCGTTATTCTTTCTTTTGTTGGACAGTGTTGCCGCTAATTATTGTCCCTTTGATAACATATGTCTATGTCGCATAACTTATTGATTTATACCATAACTTGGCCAACTATGTTGGAAATCATGTTTGCTGTCGCATGTTTAAAACTTCGGAAAATCCATAACCATTTTTGTAATAGTGCCAATATTACCGTACTATATCTATTTCGTATCGTGTTTCGATTACTTGTGGGACGAGGCTATTGTTTTTGAATTTTTTGTTCAATAGAACTATGTCGGCGTGACCTTCTTCATTCTGATTGGCTGGAAGCCATCTTTGGCACGTGAAGTAATCTTTGTTTCACATCCAAAACGGATTGACTGGGTCCTGAGTAGAGAGGAACTTACTCAGAAGTCTGTGATCAAAAGTACTTCAGAAATGGATATATACTCAGGAATGGACGTGGCCTCCCTCCAGGAGAAGGTAAGTCACACACTCAGCGGGTGACAGCGTAATTTCATAATTATAATTTCTGGTGTTGTTTTCAAGTAAGAACATCAAATGAATATCCCAAACGATTAAATATATGAGATCTTCTTGTTGTTAGTCATAATTAGTTATATATTGTAAAGAAATCTTGTATGTTAGACTAAATGAGAAATACTGACTTTGTCGACCCTATTTTTGTATCGCCACAATTTAATGGTTGAGTGGCCGGATAGAATGGCAATACTTAACCTGTTATGATGTGTATACATTCTGTCAACAGTCAGTGTCGGTATATATGTATTGGATCAAACGACGTACCCACACACTACATTTCGACACAATTCAGAACTGGAATATTGGAATACTGTAATGTTACAAGCATTTGTATTGAATTGCCGTTCCAACAAAGTTTTGTGTATACTAGATGCTACACTTTTTCATACACATATATTTATATATTAAAACACACGAGATATATTTTGGGCTTTAAATAACAGTTTTAACATTTGCAATTATTTTTCTTGTAAAGAAAAGCCTCTTTAAGTTTCTACAAATGGAATTAATATGTGATAGGACTATAGATTTAATGGAGGTATGAGTAGTCTTCAAATATTGACCTTGTCCTGAACCAAGCGAATGACCTTGACAAATGACAGTGGCAAAAGCACATCATTATTCAATACACAGTCACATGATATTGACCTAAAAATAGTGACATCAAAATGTCTTCATTAAAACCTGTGTCTATCATCCAAACATATTGTAAATGACCTTCACCAAACTCACCATGACTCAAAAATTCATGATTCTGACCAAAGCATCATTTATTTGTCAAAAGTTATACTTTTTGACTTAAAACAAAAACAGTCATACTGGTCAATAAATGACATTGACCAAATGATTTGGAATGACCTTGATCACTTACCCAGAAACATGACTTTAACATCAGCTAGAACAATTTTGACTGACTTTAAAATGTGACCTTATTGACCTTGAACTAACACAGGCAATAGCCTGTTAAATTGAAGACTAGTCTCACTCTTTTGTAGACCTATTGCAGCCAAATGATCAAAGATTGACAATGGTTTCTTGTATGACACTGGGTGTGATTATAATACAAAGTCTATGATATACTTGAGATGAATGGCCACTGTTACCGACTTCTACTGACATAACTGTGCCCTAAGTATTATCAACTTGTTTCACCGCAGGAACTTCAAAATTCAAAAGTAGTGTTGGATTTCTAAAGTATGAAAACTTTGGTCTTTTTCTATCAATATCATTATCCTTGCTCCATTTTTGTCAGCAAGCAAGTTGAATAGCCATGTAAAATTAATTGCTTCACAGTGTCAGTGCTGCAGTCTGTCAGTGCATTAAGGTGTTCAGGCATTTACAAGAAAAGTAGTGTGTTTAAACCCTGGAACTTTTGTGTTAGAGAAAATAAATAGTATTTATACACTGTAACTATTAAGTTAACAAATAACACATTACTCCGTCTGTTGAGGCTACCATACACTATATACTGGATCACTAACTCAGTAATATATTTCTGTACTCCATCTGTTGAGACTACCATACACAATATACTGGATCACTATCTATATGTTTGTTTGTAAGGTTTTGTAGAAATGCTATTGTAAAGTTGGTTCCAATCTGTCTGTATTGTAGCTTGTTGATGAGAACTAGGGGGATTGCTATTGTTATTTGAATAATTAATTGTAAAAAAACATTTCTGAAGCAGCTTCTTATATCTACAGACTACCCAAAGGTAACAGAAAGATAAGACCCAGAGATATTGTATACACAATGACCTGCTATACTCCTTCTTTATAACTTATGCATGAGATGACCACTTTGTCGGATTAGGCAAAAAAAAACAACTAGTGTTCCGCTATCCTCAGAAAAAAATAGGTAAGGTAGGTATATATATATAGGTAGGCATTTTTTTTTATTTAAAAAAAATCAATCTTTGCTATGCTTACATCTATATAGAGGAGTTCTGACTTTGACAGTGCATATCACTGCCAATACAAATCTTTAGGGTAGGCACAAAAAATCTAGGGTAGATAGGGTTAGCGGACACATAAGGTTTTTTATATTTGGCCTTAGGAACAGGGTGTCTGTGTCAATGGGCATCTAGAGAAATGTATTGGCCTAATATTGGTTTACCTGTAGCTGATTCAGGTAAATTTTCTTGAAGGTAATACGTGTCGCGTCACAAAGTTTTCATTTTAGCTCGCCAGAGGCTCGCTAAATTGAAAAATTCTTGGACTTGTTTCATAAATCTCATATGAAATGGAAACTCGTGTAAGATCCTATATGTCAGTGAATGCTGTAACAAATTTTATATTAAAGAAATTGACAAATTCAGTGTCGGAATTAATATACCCATGACATGTTGCATCACTTGTGTCTTTGGGTTCAAAGTCTTAATTTGTTGGAGAGGAAAGAGTGAAGCAGAATCACTGGATTGGGTTGATCACCATGTACCTGGAATTTACGTTCTCATAATTACAAAGGCAAAATGCAATTTCTCAAATTTTTCCAACTCACTGACACAAATAACAATTAACAATTTAAATCAATTATTACGATATCAATTTGTACTAATATCTTCCATGTTTCTGCATCTATTGCATCTCACTTCCAGTTCAGGCAACCTAAAAACGATCAAAAACAGCGTTCAGAGGTATTGGTTGGAATCCTGGCCTGGCTGTTGCATATTTCCTTTCCTTTCACATATGTTTAGTGATGTTCTCACCCACGTCCTGGTGGGATACAGGACAATTATGATACTACTCAATATTGTAACAAGTAATGTTTTTAAGCCATGGCTAACAGTGTATTTTAGTATAAAACCTCAAGAGATCCAACTACCCAGGTATATTAGAACTTACCATAAGTTTCAAAATTTGGTCAAATAAAGAACTGAACTTCCCAAAACATTTAAAAGGATGATTTCTTGTCTGCTTTTTGTGTCTTTTTCAAGAGAGGTATTTTACCAATAAGAGTTATTGCCCCTTAACTAACTCAAGGATTTTTTTTTATGATCTAGGTGTAACATTCTATAATGTTTACTCAAAATGGACTGTTTTTCAATCATTTAAAAAATACTGTCATATTGAATTTGAATGAATTTAACTTTCAATTTGTAATTTAATGACTAATTTTCCATTATTTTGGAGATTTCCATTGTTTATCACTTTTGTTTAATAACTGACTTTTATCCTAAATCAATGCAAGAATTTTATGGAAAAAATACTTTTAATACATAATAAGTGCCTTTTTTTTTAGAATAATACAAGTGTAAAATGTGTTAATGGGTATTTTACATTAATTCTTCTTTACTATACTTGGTACTCAAATGAATTCATGTTTTTATGGAAACCTCAGCTACAGAATCAATCATCTCCTGGTTCAAGAAAACTATTTATTTAATAGTAGCCAATTATGTGCAACAAATTAAATGCTAAAGTAAAAATAAGTTATATGCAATTGTTGGATAAAAAGTGGAAGACATTTCAGCATATCTCATCCAAATTGGTACAGTCATAGCACTCTTTTCATTCAAAGGCCATACAACATTAAATTTTACAAGTAAATTTTACTTTTTAGTTTGATGACTCTCTTAACACTTTCTATCAACCAAAGATCTATGGAGAATTTTGATTTGGATAGTAATAATGCTTTATCGCCCAGAACGACCGTCTGTTGACACATAACTTGTGTTCATTTTGAGTTATCAGACTTCACGGGTCGCCTACCCATGGTGTGAAAAGATAGCTATCTCTAGTAAAAAGGTCAAGGTCACAGTGACCAATGATGCAAAAATCCAATCTCTAAATATAGTCGAGTTAACTTTCCTCCTTACACCTGTTCAGTTCACAGGATGGTTACCTATGCTCAAAGGTTTTAAACTGTCATGGTAATCAGTATTCAGGATATATAAAGTTACTGTGCCGCAATCTGTCGAAAAATGCGGCTAAAATTGAAGTCATGAAAATTCATGAATATTATAAGTACATGTATAATGGTATGAAAAGATTTAAAATTTCAGTGACTTAATTTTTTTCAAGTATAAGAGTGCAAAGCCTTTTCCTGGCTGAGGGTCAAAGGTTATGTTTTCATGTTAAATAGGGTCAGAGGTAATGTTTACACAATTATTAGTGCTTTCATCATAATTGATATAGATCTATCACATCATTTAGTTTGCTAAACGACTTTACAATTCCCTTATGACACAGTATTAGCAGAAAATAATTGTAATAGCAGTAGAAGCAAGCCGAAATTAGTCGAGAAATATTGTCATTTTAAAGGGACATGTTGGGGCATGCATGACTGTATCAAATCATTTAGAAAACTAGATTGAATTTCTTTTTGTTTACTATCTTTTACAAACCCAGAGTGTAATATTAACAGAAAGTTGAAATATTTGATATGAAAGTACAAAGAAATGCCAGTTTTATTCTGCCGATAAGAAAAAAGAGCAAAGGTTAGCGGTACTGTACCTACCTTTACACTCAACCATATCTTTGAAATTTGAAGTGATGAATCGGGCCATAATAGGTAATTCATATTTCTGCATTTATCATACCTTACATACTTGAGCTCTTTACTTTTGTTGTTGCATTTACTTTTTAATAATTCAATATTTGGATTCCAAATAAAAATATTAAAGTATATGAAGTTTTATTATTTAGTGTTTTATGTTAGATTCCCATTGGATGTCAAAACTTCCCAATTTTCTACATTCTTGTGGACTAGTTGAAAAATTGTTTACTTCCTGAATGATCCCAATATTTGCCTCTTTTTCTGCTGAGTAAATGGACCGTTTTAATCATTTAAAAACTAGATTAAATCATTCACTACTTAGTCATGTTTGAGTATTCATTCTTTACAGGTAAATATTTAAATAATTCCAATAAACCTATATGGTAGATATTAAATCAGTGGTCAGTTGGTAGCCAGTTTTGACCAGAACATATATGTCCAGT